CTCAAAATATTTTTCACCAAGGGTCAATATTTGCAAACTTCTAGGAGTTTGAAATTGAGACTTTTTTGACGCAATAGTTTAAATTGGGATGAATGACTCGCAATATATTTCGTCGAGTTATAGCGTCGGCAGGAAATCTAGTCATTCCATAACGAATTGACGCAAACATCGTTTTATTTGGGTAAAGTTTTTGAGGGGTAAAGAACGATGCGCAAAAATTTAACACTTTGTATTTTATACAGCATATAAGGTACATATATGAAAAGCAAATACATTGTTGCAGTTACTCCCTATAAGATTTTTCATTGGGGTTGCATTTGCATACTTAGCCACGTTTTTCCCTTCCGTGGGGTAATTGCGACTGCTGCTTTTAGCACAGGAGAGAGCATGAATGCCTTTAACGTCAGCTTGGGCCCCGCATACACATGTGTAGGGTGATGAAATATTGGCGCCAAGGCGTAACGAAGAAGCAAGACGGAACTGTTCGTGTGTTAATTTTAGTTTCAGAGTGGATGATGGCAGAGTGTTGATCCAGTCACTGGATCCTCGACATTTTGCTCCTTGCAACCGGACATTGTCTTGTTCAGTGGAGACGTTCTCGAGTTCCCTCAGACGATTTTCAGCAATACATTGATACCACTTTTTCTGTTCCTTCTGATCGTCGCTGTCCGATGCAGTTTCATCTTCTCCCACAAGTAGCCACTATTTGTCAGCTGCTTCTAGTACATCAGTTTCAGCCAATCCTGTTTTGATTATTGACTCGACAAGAGCTCGGGATTTACTAACAGAGGATAGAAAAGCAGGGTTGACAGTTCTGTTACATTGTGTATGCCCATTCCTGCGCATTTAACGGGCAGGGTGAGTTGTTGCCAAGTTTGTTCGTCTAAGTGGACGTTCAGTACTGTTTGTAGCGTGGATCGGATTGCTTCATCAAAAAGAGTCAGGATATCTGACCTTCTAAACGTTGGCGCGGTGCGAAGAGTATAGAGCAGTTTCGGAATAAACAGACAGTTTTTGATGAGGTAAAATGCTTCGTGGGCGTCTACATATTCCATTCGTTTGCATAGTCTTCAGAGAAATCAGTTTCTCGTTCAACACGCCGTCTCGCGCTTCTTGGCCAATCGGTGCTCCCAGTATCTCAAGGTCGCATAATTTCGTGACGGTAAGGCTTGGTAACAGATCATTGAACTCGCGGATGATGTCATCACTGAGGCTGGTGTTGGGTTCCAAAATGGTCATCTCGCTTTTGTTGGCGTTTAGTGAGAGTCCTAGGGACGTTGCGAGCTCGATGAACTCCCGCAGTTCGGTCAGAACAACTGTCCAGTTGTCTCCCATTGATATGTCGTCCAGATACCCTTGTTTGAAGCGGGGTTTTATGGCGTCTAAACCGGGGTGAATTGTCGAGCTGAATCCAAAACCTGCTACGGGGTCTCCTTGTTGTCATCCTTCAGACGATGGTAGGGAGAAATCGCCGAACGATAGGATGCTGTCTTCCGAGTAGCACAGTTTGAAGAATGAAGAAGTTCTGGTATTTCTCGGTTAATGGATTCTGCAGTTTTGTCCCTTCTGATAGCGTTGAAGGCGTTGGCAAAGTCCAGTTTCACTAACACTTCTTGTTCGGTAGCCGTGTAGCAGAACGCTCGAGTTGCATGAGCTAATGCCTCGGCTCCAGACGGGGTGCAGCAGCCTAGTTGGAGGTTCCCGAAAAGAGACTTTGCTTTTGCTGTTATTGCTTCGCATCCGGTTTTCGCAGCAAGTCTCCTTAAAGTGTCTCCTACGGCTATCGGTCTGACATCGGTTAATTTCTTTCGTAGCGCTAGAAACTTTAGCGCTAGATTATTGTCGGAACTTTTGCGCGAAGGAGAAGATTATTGAAAGAAGTCAGTGAGGACATTAGTCGATGAAGGTCACCATTTGCTTTGTGGCTCGTGATGTCTTTCAAATGCTGGGGCCTCAGGCCAGATAGCCCAACAGCTGACCCCACGGGAAAAGATCTCAATGCCATGAGCACTTGGATCTCGCTGGCTTGGAACGGCAGACTTTCGTCTTCTGGGAAAACTAGTCGTTCTAGTGGTCTGGGAGGGTATTTTTCTCTCAGCTTGCTCAAGATCTCTTCAGATGGTTCGAGGGCGCCGTTGTCGGAACTGGCCAGTCGGACAGCACCTTTCACATCACCTTCGTCGAGTTTCTCGCTCACTCATTTCATTAATTGTTCAACGTCTGTTTGTTGGTTGGAACTTTGCTTGGATTATGTGCGGGGTTTCAGATCGACAAGGTCTCGGTTCTGCATGAATATCGTGATTCGGTTGTTCACTTGGGTAGCAAGTGACTGTTTATGGCTTTTTCCCCCTCTCAACGGAGCTTGCAGACATAGAGTTGGGAAAACGAAAAGACGGAGCCAAGCGATTTTCGAGTCTGGAGAGTCCAGTATTGATATGAGCGTGTCTCTCAGTGCCGCTGCAACCGCTATCCTGAAAGCTTTCGGGGCGAATTTAAGGATACGCCGTCGGCTGCGAATCTGCAACCTACTGCAATCGAGAGATTTTGAGTCTCACGCACTATCCACTCAGCCTAGCAAGCTTAACAACCGACAAATGCCAGTCAAGAATAAAGCAGCTACATATGCTAACAATTTGCCAATGCAATTCAGCAAAATGGCACCAATGACAAATAGATTCAATTTTGTAAGTAATAATTTGGAATAGAACAAACTAAAGGCATCTACACTAATTTGCATGTAACATATCGCAAAGCATAAAGCCACATTATGTTTTAAAAATGCATTTCAAAAAATTGCCAGATATATTGAGCTCGAAAATTTCTGAAATCGAGTTTTGATAATTGTGATGTTGTTTGAAACAAATCAGTTGTTTCGGTTCATTTGATGAATTAAAAAAGCATCAAATGTGTCAACTTATTACTAGTTGAATGTCAAAGCACATACTAAGAAAAAAGCCGTTAAGTAGCCCTAAAAGTGGCATCAATATTTACGACGTAGATAGGAAAAAAGAAGGTTCGTACTAACTAAGAACAAAAATTTAAATTAAGAAAATCATAACATGGCAAAACATTATAACATAATATGCATCAAATGAGATTTATTGGACAGGGTCATAAATGTTGGAACCAATACAAGAACAAAAATAATTTATCCCTAGAATTAAAAAAAAAATGACATTACACTAAATTTCGCCCTTTCAATGGGCCCAGCTTTAATGAACTGGAAAATCGAAAAAAAAAACATAATCATTGCAATATACGATAAAGCTTAAACGTGCAGAAATTCTTTCGTTAAACATGCAAAATTGAAAATAAACCTGGGGAAATAGCTGTCACATGCATTTAAATATAGTATAGACAGATAGATTAATCTTTTTCAAATAAAAACTCGATTTATCGGGGGGCTTGAGTTATAGGGCTAAAAAAAACAGATCTTTGCCAGCTTTGCACGCTTCACCTATACAAACGTTTTCATATCAACTAACAAAAATCCCATTTAAATTATATTGAAATTACCAAACAAAAGGTAGGCTTTTCTTTTAATTTTCTGACCCTGTAGTTGAAGTTTTGTCATGTTCAGCACTTGCTATTTGAACTTCGACAGTGAAATCAGGCAACCCATCCAACAGCTCAGGATTTGATTGTTTTTCATCGTTCGAATAATTGCACAATTCTGCTAATTGCATTTTGTAATGTACTGATGATAAATCACTCGCAACGTGTATGATTTGTCCCCACGACCTATTTCGGAAATATTCGCTGGATAGTTGCGCGTTCAAATTCAACAAATTCTTACACTCATTTTCAACGTGAAGCTTTTGAAGTGGTTCATTGATTTGCCTGATATCATTGTTGATAATTAAATGGATATTCTCACATATTGTTTCGACTGCGATGCCAGATAGAGCCAACTTGTGATTATTATTGATAGCTGAGATATAATTTTCAATTTTACGATTCAAATCTCGGGAAAAAATTTGACGCAGATCTGGTGTACATTTGAGAGAAACGATCTGAGAATCGAAGCTATTCTTTAGATTTTCTAATGATCGTTGAGTGACTATTTCCATCAAAAATAGCGTCTCTATTCCGTAAAAAGTTACAATGCCTGAAATTTGGCCCTCTTGGGAGCCAAAAATGACACAATTGCTCATTTTCAGCCCAAACATGGGCGGCCGAGAAACATAATGCTCTGAAAATCTTTAATGAAAAATGAAAACTTTAATTGCAAAATGATAATTAATATTATAAGGCAAGTATAAGTCACTCAACTTTTCTTGGTTATATAATTATTTATGTGCCAGTCGGTCATATTTGGAAGTTTGACCTTGAGCTGAACGTTTGATCTTGATTTTGGGCGGAAAAGTAATTTTTCAAAATTTCGAATTGAGCCTCTCATGCTCAAGTTTCTCGCGACAACTAAAAATACGAGAAAAAGCAATCAGAAGACTCGAGTGATAATCGCGAGAAAGTTGGTAGAAAAACGGGAGTGTGAAATTGCTAGTCGCAATTTGCTAGTCGCAATAGCCTAATTGTTGTAATAAACTTATTAAATAGTTTAAGATTCATGACTGGCTCACGGGATCGACTACCCAGCTCGACATCAACAGCTGCTGTTCTCACTGCTCATCCACAGTGAAACGGAAGGACAAGGGTCTCCAATGTGACCGATGTGAAGACTGGTTTCATCTATCCTGCCGAACAGTCTGATCGGCAGGGTCTGATCACATCTCGTCTGGGGAGATGATTTCTAATGATTTTATCCTTTTTTTTTTACTGTTTTTGGGTTTTTCGGTTATTTTCCATTTTTTTTCTTTGGTATTATACTACTTTTTGTTTGTTTTCTTGTATATTTTTAAATGTTTTTGGTCACAGACCTCTCAGGGAACGAGGGGACGGCCAATCTCCCCACCCTTCCTGGAACGTGAATTTTCGGTGTTAACTAGGTTAAAAAGCTATTCACGGGAATCCGGAAGGCTTCCGCGTTCCGAGCTACCCTTCCGCCCCGGCGGTTAGGGACTTTTAAGGGCGTTATTATGAGCATCCGCTCGGCGCGGATTAATCGTGAACAGTCCTGCCGGTCATGATGCTAAAATTGCCTTACTACAGCAAAACAACTTCTCAAAGATAAGTCTGGTCCTCATTCATTGAAACTATTTGTCGAGAAAAACATGTCAGAAACCCTGAAAATCAAGTAGTTCATCCGCGCTCAAAGGGATAAACGACAAGCTTGACCTGAGTGTAGAATTGGTTTCCCAATTATGGGAACCAAGTGAAGACGGTGCTGATGTAACCAATTCCCGAAATCTGACGACACTTGCAGAAAATGTCTACTACTACTACTACTAAAAGAATTTATTCCCTTTAAAATATAAAGGCATCAAACAAAAGAAACGGTATGATTATGTACACAAGACATCACGAACGGCAATTTATGCAATGGCAACAAAGTAGCATTGAACAAGAGTTAAGTTGAACATATCAATTCTATTTTTCAGATAGATTTTCAATTTTGCTTTGAAAGTTTCAGGCGATGAGAAAATGTCGGCTATGTTGTTTGCTGAAATCATGTTGGCATACCGACAGACGCGAAAGAAGAAAAATTGCTCTGTAAAGAAGAGTCGACAATTCTGGGTTGTTGAAAGCTTAGGTCGTGAGCTATTGCGAAGGTCTTTGGCTGCAAAGGTAAAATTTATGTATCTGTAAAGGTTGAAATCAAATTGATCAGTCAGGACTCGATTAGGAAAACACATATCATGTAAAGCTATAGGGAAGGAAATTGGCAAGGAATTCGTTTTTCTAAGTTGTTCTGTATAGTCGTTCACTCCCGTTAACCATTTCAAACATTTTCTGTTAAATAATTCTAGTTTGCGGCGATATGTTAAAGATGGAAACCAGACCTGGTTACCGTATAATAAATTACTCATAATACATAGCTGGTAATATTTGAATTTGGTTCTCATGGATACTCCATAAGGGATTGAATGTTTTAAGAACTGGAAAGCTTTGTTAACTGCGACCAGTTTGGTTTTAATGTGGATATCCCACTTTAAATCACTAGATATCGTTACTCCGAGATCTTTGATAGATGAAACTAACGGAATTAGGTAATCAGTAAGGCAAAGAGTAGATTTGGGGGAAGTTGAGAGTTAAAACAAATAACTTTGCATTTATCAGAATTAAATGTCATTTCGTTTTCAAGCGTCCAATTGATAAATAGATCAATGTCTATTTGAACTAAGGAAAAGTCATATTTTTAATAGAGTTTGCTGTCATCAGCAAACAGAAAGCAATTAGAGGTTTTCAAGACAGCTGGCGTGTCATTAATGAAGAGTATAAATAGCAAAGGGCCGAGTACACTTCCTTGCGGAACACCACTTGTTACATGGCCTTTTGGAGATGCTTCATTGTTAATTAAGACAATTTGCGTGCGGTTTGTGAGATAGTAAGCAAAAAATTCAAGAAAGCTAATGTCAACGCCTAAACTACCGAGTTTCAAAATAAGTATATGATGAGGAACTTGATCAAAAACCTTGCGAAAATCGAAGTACACAGAAAGACATTCGTTTTTTGCCTCGACGTCGTTATAAATCTGATCTAAGTACTCAGGAAACTGAGTAACAGTCGATCGCTTGATCATAAAACCATGTTGAGCAGGTGTATTTTTAGCCCGAATTTTAGGATAAACGAAATCGAAGATCATTATCTCCAGAATAATCGATAATTGAGGCAATATGCTAATGGGGCGATAATTTTCAACATTTTCGGGATTACTATATTTAAGAATTGGCGTAATAAACGCACATTTCCAAAGTTCTGGCCACGTTTTAGTTTCCAAAACCTTGACAAAGGGCTGCACGACTAGAGGAGATATTAATTCACTGCAGCAGTTAAGAATAAAGGTTGGGAGGCGGTCGTTGGTAATACAAGAAGTTTAAGCAAATTCGAGAGCTTTCTCGACCTTTTTAAGGTTGACATGGAGATCGGATAGAAAAATGGTGGGTTTTTCGGGTTGTAGGATTTGAATTTCGTGCCTTTCTAGAAACAGTGAACAGAAGTAATCGTTCAAAAGAATGGCTATTTCAATAGAAGTGGATGCTTTTCTATTCATCCAGTGCATTTGGTTTGGTAGTTTCCTATTGGTAAAAGATCGAAGGTATTTAAAGCAATCATGGTCTTAAAGATTCAAGGAGACAAGCTTCGATTGAATTGTTAAGGTCTTGTTGGATCGAAGCTAAATGATTTGTGTTGGCTGTCCGTTTAGATATGGAATGGTGCTTATTCAGTAAATGAACTGTATGCGACGAATAATAATAGGGAAGTTGCTGGCGTCTTTTAGTTTTATGTGCGCATGATAAAAGAATTGCATGATTGATCTGAGCGTACCAGCTATCTACATAATCATTAGTGGTGGATATGGAATAACTTTTGTTCCACAATGAGTTTGGTAAAGCAAGGGCTGATGTTACTATTGAAGATCGAATGAGAGAAAGATGATTTAGATAGAGAGGATTTCGTAAAATTCCCAATCACAGTAGGCGCTACTTCAGGAATGGTAAAAAAAGCAAATAAAGGAAAATGGTCTGAGTAAAGCACTTCATTTACAAATGCAGTGAACAATTCTGTGTGCGAAGTTTGAATGATATCAAGAGTGTTGCCTGAGCGATGTGTGGGTTCATATATAAGTGGCATTGAGCTATGATCCTAAATAACTTCTAGGAACAGTTTTGAGTAATCACAGCCTCCATCAGAAGATGCCCAATAGATATCAGGCAGATTTAGGTCACCTAAGATTGTGTACGAACTAGAACCATTAATCAATTTGGAGTTAAAGTAACAATTTGAATCAGTAAGCATTTTGGCAGGTATCCGAAACTGCGACGAAGCGGGGGGGGGGTTGTCAATTAGGAGGAAAATATGATTAACTGCACCCGAATATATTGAAAGTCCGATGCAGTAATTTGCATCGTATGATAGAATTGAATAATTTAAAGCAAAATTATTTTTTGTAGCAATGAGAACACCTCCGTGTTCTCCAGAAGTGCGGTCTTTTCGAGCAATAACCGAATAGGGAGAATTCATAGGAAAAATTTCGGGATCAGTAACTTCTGGTTTAAGCCAAGTTTCAGTAATGAACACAATATCAGGAGAATGTAAAGAAAGAAAATTGATTAACTTCAGACGCTGATTTAGGCTCAAGAGACTTTGTGCGTTGATAAGGCATAATTTTGATTGTAGTCAGTCAAGATTGATCTTGATACCATTTCGTTCGAGGGTCAGACCACGAATTTTTAGCTCATCGCGTGGAATTTTTTCATTGTTAATCAAGTCGTACCGTTTCTTGAAGATTTTACGTTTCAGAATCTGTTCTTCTTGGTTTGGGGACTTCGATATGAAAATCTTTTCTTTGAAGTTCTTCCATTTTTAAGATTTTGCTAGGCATTTTTTAGCATTCCATTCGGATGACAGACGAACAAGTAAAGGACGCGGTCTTCGTTGTTAGGAATTAGCTTTACCAAGTCTATACATATGGCAGATACTGAGATTTTTTTCGCCTCTATGATCAAAAATTTCGGCCACTTTGGCTTCTTCGGCCTCTATATTGGATGTAAACTGACCGTTGTCTTCGCAGACTCCGTCGATGATTATCTCGTTTTCACATGTGTTGGCCCGGTGACTGTTATTAATACGACTATTAACCGGTACATTCGATGATGTTGTCTTGGTTGCATCAACATTTTCAACAGTTTCTTTATTGCTTTTTGTAATTTCGATTAAGCTTTCTTGTCTTTGAATAATCAGTTCAAACTTAGCTTGGGATGTGAAGATGTTCCCCTCAAGGCAGCCAGAGCACAGCCAGAAGCATCCTCGAAATTTGCCCATTGTAGCTACATCATCAGGAGACAATCCAACACATTGCCCATGGAACCACGCGCTGCATTTTTTACATCCTATAGCAGTTGAGTCGTTGTCCTTCACTAGTTTGTTGCATGGTCCACATCTAGAAGCTTTTGCTTGTGACATATCAAACCGGAAACTATTTAATAAGTTTATCACAACAATTAGGCTATGTCGTTACCAAACCTTTTTCTGTTCCTTATCGTCCACTCGGAGAGAATAATCCAGACTATGAATACAAATTGGTTGTTAAAAACATTGGTTGTTAAGGTTATTGGTTGTTAAAAAAAGCACAAATTAGTCTTCCTTAGAGCGACAACTGGAAGATAAAACCAGCGTTGCTAATGTCATTAGTGACCTTGGAATTAAATGTCCAGTTCGTGACTGTCATCGTCTTGGGATATTCAGCGATGGCAAAAATCGACCGCTTCTAGTAACTTTTAACTCTGTTTGGGACTCACGCTTGTGTCGTGTAACATTCGCCGGGAAGTATATATCGACGGAAAATAAACCTAGGTTCTAAAACGACTGGCTAGCGTCTAAACACAGCTCTACATGCTTTTCACCGTCTCTGCCAAAGCCAGTTCTTTTGGTGGTTTTCCTAACATCGGGTCGACAAAAACTTTACTGCTTTCGGCTTCGGTCAAAACACTCAAA